CACCAGGGAGGCCCCCTTATTCACTTTTTTTTTTAAAGATTTATTTACTTTTTTATACAAGCACTGGGTACAGTCAGAAGCACAGGAGGGTGAGGGAATTCATCAGAGCCAGAGCAGGGAACAGAACAGACAGACTGATGAAATACACTGCTGCCCTCTAATTCACTTTTAATTAATTTTTGTGTATCAAGGTAAGTATGGATCTAGTTTTTCTTTTCTTTTTTTTTTTTTGCTTGTTGCTATCCATTGTTTCCCAATATTATTTGTTAACGTTTTCCTTTCTGCATTGTATGGCTGTGACTCCACTGTCAAAGATTAACTGCCTAATTTTGTGTGAGTTAATATATGGGCTTTCTATTCTATTCCACTGGTCTGAGTTTGTTTTGCTTTTATTCCAATATCATACTACTTTGATTACTGTTGCTATGTAAAATAGTTGCAGGCAGCAAGTGTGATACCTCTATTTTTCTCTCTTCTGTCAGGGTTGCTTCAGCTATTCAGGGTCTTTTGTTAAAATTTACACTTAAATTTTAAAAATGATTACTTCCCTTGAAAATAAATAATTGGGATTTGATAGGTATTGCATTGGATTTGTAAAATGTTTTAGGTACCATGCACATCTTTTAATGATGTTCATTCTTCTAAACTATGAGCATGGGCTAGCTTTCCATTTCTTTGTGTCATCTTTTATTTCCTTTAACAGAGTTTTATAGCTTTCAATATATTCATCATTTACCTCCTTCATTAAGTTTACTCCCAGGTCTTTCATACACTTTGGTGTGATTGGAAATGGGGTTTTCTTATTTCACTTTCTTCTGATATATTGGCTGCATCCAGAAATATAACTGATTTTTGTGTACTGACTTTGCAACCTGCTACTTTACTATATTTGTTTATTATTTCTAGTAGTTTTTTTGGTACTCTATGCATATTATCATCTCATCTACAAGCAATGACAGACTCACAACTTCTTTTCCAAATCAGATTCCTTTTAAGTCTTTTTCTTACCTAACTGCTTGAGCTAGAACTTTCAGTACTATGCTGAATAATAGTGGTGACAGTCTTACCTCCGGAGACTCCTGTATGATCGAGTATGATCTTGACTGTGGATATGTCACATATGTCCTTTAGAACGTTTAGATTAGTTCCATTTATTTCCATTTTATTCAGTGTTTTTATCATAAATGGATGTTGAATATTGTTGAATGCTTTTTTAGCATCTATTGAGATGATCATGTAATTTTTATCTTCCTTTTTGTTGATTTGTTGAAAGATGTTTATTAACGTGTGTATGTTGACCCATCCTTGCATCCCTGTAATGCTTACTTGAGCATCGTGGATGATTCTCTTAATGTTGCTATATTTGGTTTGCTAGGATTTTATTGAGAATTTTTGTATATGTTCATCAGGGATAAGTCAATAGCTTTCTTTTTTTGTACTGGTTTTGGTATCATAAATGCTGGCTCATACAATGCATTAGGGAGTTTTCCACTCCAATTTTTTCTGAAGAATTTGAGGACAGGTATTAGGTTCTCTTTGAAGGTTTGGTAGAATTCACTGCAGAAGCTACCTAGTCCTGGATTTTTGTTCTTAGACTTTTTATTATACTTTCAAGTTCAGAAACTTGGGGTTGAACTATTAAAGCTATCTCATCTTCATTCAGTCTTGGGAGGTTGTATGAATCTAAAAACTTGTACATTTCTTCCAGGTTGTCCAGTTTGTTTGCATAGATGTTCATGGTAGGCTTTTATATTCTATGGATTTTTGCACCATCCATCGTAAGTAATTTCACCTCTTTCATTTCTACTGGGTTTCCTCTCTTCTTTATAAGCCTAAGGGCTTCTCAATTTTATTTTTTCAAAGAACTAGCTCTTGGTTTCACTTAACTTTTGGACTTTTTTGTTTCCTATTTCATTTATTTCTGTCCTAACTTTTATAATTTGTTTCCTTCTGCTGATTTGTGGATACTTTTGTTCTTTTTCTAGTTCCTTCAGCTGCATAGTTTGATTGTTTGAGGTATTTCTTGTCTTTTTTTTTTTTTTTAATGTGGGCCTATATTGTTATGAACTTTCCATGTGGTACTGCTTTTGCAACATCCTTTAAGGCCTGGCAGTTTATCACTCCAATTTTATTAGTCTCAATATACTTTCTGATTTCTTCTTTGAACCACTGTTGTTTAGAAGAGTTTTGTTTAGTTTCCATATTTGGTTTGTTTTGGGATTCTTTTTGAAGTTAATTTCTAGCTTCATACCACTGTGATCTCTGAAGATGTCTGATATAATTTCTATTTTCAGAGACATGTTTTGTGTTCTAGTTAGTATATGGGTCTATTCTTGAGGATGTTCCATGTGTCCTAGAGAAAAAAGTGTACTCATTTCTTTTGGGATGGAACACTCTATAAATGTCCATTAAATCCATCTGGCCCAAAAATTCAAGTAAAGCCTTAATTTCTTTGCTAATTTTCTGTCTGGATGATCTATCCCTTTGTGTCAGTGGTGTATTAAAGTCTCTGACAAAAAGTGTATTTTTGACAACATGTTGTTTTAGCTCTTTTAATGGTTGCTTTATATAACTAGGTACCCCTTTGTTAGGTGCATAAATGTTAAAAAACTATGTCTTCTTGCTGAATTGTCCCCTTGCTGATTATATAGTGGTTATCTTTGTCCCTGATTACCTGTTTTAGATAAAAGTCTGGATGATCCATTATGAGAATATCAGTTCCTCCCTTTCTATTTGGATTATTTGCAGGTACAATCTTGTTCCAATCTTTTACTTTTAGTTTGTTTTCATTTTAAATGGCTCCCTCACTGAGCATAATCTTCAAAAGGAAGGAATTTCTATCTATTTTGTGCAGTGATATGTTCTCAGCAGACCAGTGACCAGCAAATTACACATTCAGTAAGCATTTGTGGAATGAATGAATAAATGTCCAACCATAAAGGGACGATTAAATTGTTATTATTATACAACAGACTATTGTATAATATAAAAGTATGCATTTAAAGAAATTTTAAAAGGAAATGATCTATGTAAATTAAAAAAAGCATCCCAAAAATATAAAGACATGGCCATTATGAGTTTACTAAGAACAAGACACATGACACTAAAGTTCACAGGGATGGAGTGTTGAAGGATTAATGCTAAGTGAAATAAGTAAAAAGGAGAAAGACAAATACCAGATGTTGTCACTAATATATGGACTATAAAGTAACTAAATTAATAGTCTGATAAAGACAGCTGAAAAAGTAACCCTTGATAGCTGACTACAGAACTGAAGCACCAAAAGTTGTGCAGGTGTTGGAAGAGGGGAGAAAGCACAATGGTCTATGGCAGTGGAATATGGGTGAGTTAGTGGTGGCTGCACTATGGTGGTGCCCCAATTTACCTGAGTTAAAAATAATTATAAAGGAAAAAAATAAACTACAGTTCACAATCACTCAGCAAGTTCTAAAAAGTATGGTGAACTACAAGTAGGATGGTGAGGTACCATGGTGAGGTACTTTACCCAGTTGTTAGAAAAATTTTAATTCATCAAGTTTGAGACTTTTCCCCCATAACCCTGTTTAAGCAAACATTTTAATAATCTAGACAAAAGTAGTTACTAAATACATAAATGGGCAGCAATTCATATTTTATTTTTTTTTAATATGCTACAGTATGATGCGACTATTGAAATTGCAGAACACATTGGCATAAAGAAAATTACCACCTACATTTCATGGTGATCAGATCATACCATGAAAAAAATTTCATGCTTAATCTAATTAAAGACACTGTATTTTAAAGTAATACAAACTGGAGTCTACCCCCAAACAAGGCAATTTGATTGATGAGGGATATGAAAATACTAAGCAAGAAGATTAAAGAAAGGAAATGTAGATCATGGGGGGGAAATGTATTTTTAAACAAAGGATGCTAGGACAATGGCCATTCTATTATTTACTAATTTTGTTTTTCACATATGTAATCCCCAAATCCAATCTAATTTATACTTTTAAAAACTTCACCAAAATTGAGATAAGAAGAAAAATCATGTTGTACCATTGATGAATAATTTTCTAATAAACTGCAGTGCAGGCCATAAAAATCTGTGCATATGATGACTATACCAATTTATATAGGATTAATAACAATGGTAATAGCTGCCAATTATTAAGCATTACCAGATACCACACATTCTATTGAGTATTTTATAGGCATTCTCTCATGTAAGCCATCCCAAAACCCTGCAAGGTAGGTATTACTACACTGTTACTGTTTCTAATAGCAGAGTAAGTGCCTTATCCTCAAGGGAATGGATAAACTATGACATATTCATATACAGGAATATCTACAGCGATAAAAAAGAATAAACTGTAACTATGTACATCTATATAAAAGAATCTCAAAAACCTAAGGTTATGAAAAACACAATTCTCGGAAGAGTATTTATCATGCTGATTCTATGTACTACAGAGTTAAAAACCATACTAAATGTCAAGAAAAACTACACATGTGAGGGGAAGGAGACAGACACAACTTCAATGGTATTTGAATTAATTCTATATCTCCAGCTGGAGGGCCAAAATGCAAAAAATATTTTTACTTTTCTTTATTTTTTATAAATGCTTCACATATTCTTTTTTATAAATGAAAGTTAACAGTGGAAGGAATATAAATATTATTTAAATGAATGTCAAATATATGTAAACTGTTACAGCTCTGTGTTCTTAAGCTGGAGAGAATAGCTAGACTTCACCTACATCTCAAGCTATCACCCTCAAGGGAAAACAAGAGGAACACCAACATATTGATAAGACAAATGAATTCATTATTATTTTCCTAAAGAGTTATTTTTTTTAGTAGAAAATTTGGAATAATAATCTAATCTTTGAAGAATTAAGGTTTCTAGCACTTGAGACAAAGACTAGCAATGACTCAGCTAGAATCATCAATGATGCAAATTTCACTACATTTCTTTCACTATTTCTCTTTTTTCAACATCTAGATTTATTTCCTACCTTGGACAAAGCAGTTGTTCTCTCATGAGCAAACAATTTTGCTTTGATCTCTTCTACTTTTCTCCGGTCATCTTCATTTAATTCTGAAATTGAGTAGCCACACTCATATTCACGAGCCAAGTTAAACTTCAGATTCCAGGCTGGAGAGAAAGCATAAAGCACTTGAGATAACACACAGATCATCAGTACAGCCAAATTAATATCTATCACAGTACTTAATTGTGTGTACTCTCAATCATATATATTATTAAAAGTTTTGAGAGATCATTTCACTGAAATAACTGATTTTTAAATCATACTCTATATAGATATTTCTTCAAAGAGGTGGCTGTAAATACAGTATTCAATCACTGTTATTTTAATCATGCGTCTAATCAAGACAGTTCCTTTGCCTCCCCTATTAGTTCCTGCTTCACTTTCTGCCAATTTGATGAAAGCTGAAATAATAAAGATTCCCATGCAGGCCTGAATTGTTTATATGCAAAATATGCTTCCCATATTGTCTTAGATATTTTTTAAGCAGAATTCTATTAGAGATCATTCGGATCAGTAAATAATCCTTTAAACCTTTAACCCAATTTTAGTGCGAAATAGCTTGATTAGTTTTTTCTAATGTCTAAGATCAGCCTCAAGAATTTTATTAGAAAAGGGAATGAGAAAGACACACAGTGATGCAGAGCAGAGCAAATTGGGTTTTCTTGGTTTGCTGTTTTGTTTTTGCCTTTGTACAAAATAAGGATAACTATAATGGGAGGATTAGGAAAACATAAGACTTTAGTTTGGGAGTCCAGGGTACCACCATACTCTTTCAGCCATCAAAACCTACTTCCCCCAAGACTCCAAACAAACTAGCTCTATTAATACAACTTAGCTGCATTATTGGTTAAATGAACTTTGGATTGTTTAAAAAAAAAAAAAAAAAAGAACTTTGGATCACAGGAAAATAAATTTAGAACTCCAAACATTGAACTTCAAATATATTATTAAGCAGTTTATAAACTTCTGCCTGCCTTTATAACAAATGATCAGTTCCTACCTCGTGCTCGCACCCGACATTCTTCTTCCTCTGCATTTTTGAGTATTTGTTTAGCATGATTCAATGAGGATTCACATTTTAGTAGGTTTTTCACATGTGCAGCCAGTGAATCTACACTGCTGGCAGCATCATCACTCTCTGACACACCCTCTTCCTCTCTGCTATCTGTCATGCTTGTCTTTGGTGACGCATATGGAAAGAAGTTTAGAAGAACATCAGAAACTGATTCCAAGGAATTACTGTCCCATGAGCAGGAACTTGCATCACTGCTTGAATCACTTTTTATGATAGTCATCATGGGGATTACAATTTTATTCCCAATGGTTCTACTATACCCTTCAGGTTCAGATCTCATTACAGATCTGGCTGCTTTATATTGCCTAAGGGTTTCATCTAATGTCACTCTGGCTTTACTTTCTGCTTCCTCTAGAGGACTTCTAACTGTAGTTGAACTAATAAACTCCCAATTTTCAATGCCTCTCTGGCATTTCATATTCGTCTGTGTGCTAATATCCTTCTGTATGTACTGGTTGGCTGGGTTTTCCTCTGTGAATGACTGTTTGTGAGGCAAATCACCATGAGAGTTATCAGTTGTTGGGGGTTCTTTAAAGCAAACCACCTTCTTAGATTGTATATATGAAATATCATTAACATCTCGGAAAGGCACAAGGGGAGAAGAAAAATTACAGCGTTTCAGTGCTATATTTTCTGCCTCCATTAAAAGTGTCCGAATCTCTTTAAGAGTTTTGGAACCACTGCCTGTATCCCGGATATCCTTAGAGCCAACATCTTCAAAACCTGATGATTCTGGCTTATTTATTACAATTCTACTATCAGCCTGAGAATTTAAAGGCATACTGTTTGAAGTAAGACTAGAATTAGAAGAATCCAAATTATCTATTAGCCTCTGGACATGGTCTGAAACAAGTTTGTGTTTTTCACTACGTGAATAAGTATCAGGGGAAACTGTTGAGAACCTAGTAATCTTTTCATCTTGCCCAAGACCACTTGAGAGCATCAGAGCACCTTCGACTAGGTGTCTATTTGGCAAATCCTTTCGATAGGATATATCTGGTTTCTCTCTGGGTGAAAAGGAACTAGGAAGAGTTGTTGGTAACAGAGTTTTCTGGTTAGCTTGTCCAGGGATAACTGAAACCTTTAGCGCATTTTCAGTTAGATGGTTATCTGGCAATTCCTGTGAATAGAAAATATTCGATTTCTCTCTATGTGAAAAGGAACTAGGAAGAGGTAGTGGAATCCCAGAATCCACCTCAGTGGGTTCAGGAACAGTTGAAATCTTCAGAATAGCTTTACTTTCATGTTTATCTGTCAACTGCTGTTGAAAGAAAATACTGGGTTTTACTCTCTGAGAATAAGAATCATGAACAACTGCCAATGATGGAGTCTTCTGGTCTTCCGGTCCAATCACAGGTGAATCTTTAGGCTTCTCTCTTTGTAAATAAGGGCTAGGGGAAATTGTTGATGACTCAGTCTTCTGTTCAGCTGATCCAGGAAGAGCAAAAACTTTTAAAGTTTCTTTAGTAAGATTTGGCACCTCCTGTGGAAAAGAAACACCAGCCTTCCCTCTATATGAAGAGGAACTGGAGGGGATTACTTGTATCCCAGTCTTCTGGTCAGCTGGTTCAGGAACAACTGCAAATTTCAAAGTTTCTTCACTAATACCTGGCAAGTCCTTCTGATAAGAAAATATAGGTCCCTCTCTAAGGGAAGCTGAGGATACAATTCTTTTACCAGTCTTCTGTTCAGCTGGTCCAGGAACAGCTGAAACTTTCAGAGTTTCTTCAGTAACATCTGGCAAATCCTTCTGATAAGAAAAGACAGGGAGCTCTCTAAGAAAAGTAGTGGGTACAATTTGTACACCAGTTTTCTGGTCAACTGATACAGGAAGCCCTAGGAGTCTGAACACATCATCATTAGTATCTATTAACTCTTGCTGGTAAGAGACAATGGGCTTCTCTCTATGTGAGTAAGAAGAGGTTACTGCTGATATCCCAGTCTTCTGATCAACTGCTCCAGGACCCCCTATAATTTTTAAAGCCTCTTCAGTAATATCTGGCAACTCCTGCTGGTAAAAAATGGCAGGCTCCTCTTCGTATGAATAGGAACTAGACAGTGCTGTAGGTATTACAGTCTTCTGGTCAGTTGATTCAGAAACACTTGAAATTTTCAGAGCCTCTTCAGTTAGATGACTATCTGACAACTCCTGTTGGTAAGAAATAATAGGCTTCTCTCTGTGTGAGTAAGAAACAGAAGTTTCTACTGGTATTCTGGTTCTCTGGTCACCTGTTCCAGGAACAGGTGAAACTTTCTGAGCCTCTTCAGTTAGAGGACTATCTGGCAAGGCCTGTTGGTAGAAAATAATAGACTTCTCTCTATGTGAGTAAGGAATAGAGGTTGCTGCTGATTCCCCACTCCTCTGGTCAGCTGAATCAGAAGCAGCTGAAACTTTTGGAGCCTCTTCTGTGAGATGTCTATTTGGTAAGGCCTGTGGATAGAAAATAATGGGTTTCCCTTCTAGTGAGGAGGAACTTGATACTGTTGATATCCCAGTCCTCTGGCTAGCTGATTCAGGAGCAGCTGAAGCTATAGGAGCCTCTTCTGTGAGATGTCTATTTGGTAAGGCCTGTGGATAGAAAATAATGGGTTTCCCTTCCAGTGAGGAGGAACTTGATACTGTTGATATCCCAGTCCCCTGGCTAGCTGATCTAGGAGCAGCTAAAACTTTCTGAGCCTGTTCAATTAGAGAATTGTCTGGAAATTCCTGTTCATAAAAAACAACGGGCTTATCTCTCTGTGAGTAGGAAGCTAAAGGTTCTGATGGCAACCCAGTCTTCTGGTCTGTTGGCCCAGAAACAGCAGAAGTGTTTTCAGCCTCTTCAGTTAGATGACTCTCTGGCAACTTTTGTTGGTAAAAAATAAATGGCTGCTCTTTATGTGCATAAGGAATAGAGGTTGCTGTTGATATCCCAGTCCTCTGGTCAGCTGACCCAGGAGCAGCTGAAACTTCTGGAGCCTCTTCCGTGAGATGCCTATCTGTTAAGGCCTGTGGATAAAAAATAATGTGTTTCCCTTCCAGTGAGGAGGAACTTGAAGATACTGGTGATATCCCAGTCCTCTGGCCAGCCGATCCAGGAGCAGCTAAAACTTTCTGAGCCTGTTCCGTTAGAGAACTGTCTGGAAATTCTTGTTCATAAAAAACAATGGGCTTATCTCTGTGTGAGTAGGAAGTAAAAGGTTCTGATGGCAACCCAGTCTTCTGGTCTGTTGGTCCAGGAACAACAGAAGTGTTTTGAGCCTCTTCAGTTAGGTGACTCTCTGGCAATTTCTGTTGGTGAAAATTAAAGGGCTGTTCTTTATGTATGTAAGGACTAGAGGTTACTGTTGATATCCCAGTCCTCTGCTCAGCTGATCCAGGAGCAGCTGAAACTTTCTGAGCCTGTTCAGTTAGAAGACTCTCCTGTAACTCCTGTTGGTAAAATATAAAGGGCTGTTCTCTATGTGCATAAGGAATAGGGGTTACTGTTGACAACCCAGTTCTCTGGCCAGCTGATCCTGGAGCAACTGAAACTTTCTGAGCCTGTTCAGTTAGAGGACTGTCTGGAAATTGTTTGTAAAAAACAACAGGCTTATCTCTGTGTGAGTAGGAAGTTAAAGGTTCTGATGGCAACCCAGTCTTCTGGTCTGTTGGCCCAGGAACAACAGAAGTGTTTTGAGCCTCTTCAGTTAGATGACTCTCTGGCAACTTTTGTTGGTAAAAAATAAAGGGCTGCTCTTTATGTGCATAAGGAATAGAGGTTACTGTTGCTATCCCAGTCCTCTGGCCAGCTGATCCAGGAGCAGTTGAAACTTTCTGACCCTCTTCAGGTAGAGGACTCTCTTGCAACTCCTGTTGGTAAAATATAAATGGCTGCTCTCTATGTACGTAAGGAATAGAGGTTACTGTTGATATCCCAGTCCTCTGGTCAGCTGATCCAGGAGCAGCTGAAACTTTCTGAACCTGTTCAGGTAGAGGACTCTCTTGCAACTCCTTTTGGTAAAATATAAAGGGCTGCTCTCTATGTGCGTAAGGAATAGAAGTTACTGTTGATTTCCCATTCCTTTGGTCAGCTGATCCAGAAGCAGCTGAAACTCTTGGAGCCTCTTCTGTGAGATGTCTATTTGGTAAGGCCTGTGGATAGAAAATAATGGGTTTCCCTTCCAGTGAGGTGGAACTTGAAGATACTGTTGAAATCCCAGTCCTCTGGTCAGCTGACCCAGAAGCAGCTAAAACTTTCTGAGCCTGTTCAGGAAGAAGATTATCTGGCAACTCCTGTTGGTAAAAAACAATAGGCTTATCTCTGTGTGAGTAGAAAGTAAAAGCTTCTGATGGCAACCCAGTCTTCTGGTCTGTTGGCCCAGGAACAGCAGAAGTGTTTTGAGCCTCTTCAGTTAGATGACTCTCTGGCAACTTCTGTTGGTAAAAAATAAAGGGCTGCTCTTCATGTGCATAAGGACTAGAGGTTACTGTTGATATCCCAGTCCTCTGGCCAGCTGACCCAGGAGCAGCTGAAACTTTCTGAGCCTGTTCAGTTAGAGGACTCTCCTGTAACTCCTGATGGTAAAATAAAGAGGGCTGATCTCTACGTGCATAAGGTATAGAGGTTACTGTTAATAACCCAGTCCTCTGGTCAGCTGACCCAGAAGCAGCTGAAACTTTCTGAGCCTGCTCAGTTAGAAGATTATCTGGCAATGCCTGTTGGTAAAAAATAACAGGCTTATCTGTGTGTGAGTAGAAAGTAAAAGCTTCTGATGGCAACCCAGTCTTCTGGTCAGTGGGTCCAGGTACAGCTGAAACTTTCTGAGCCTGTTCAGTTAGAGAAGTCTCTGGGAACTCCTGTTGGTAAAAAGTAACAGGCTTTGCCGTATGTGAAAAGGAAGCGTAAGGCTCTGATGGCAACCCAGTCTTCTGGTCTGCTGTTCCTAGAACAGCAGAAACCTTTTGAGCCTCTTCAGTTAGATGATCCTCTGGCAACTTCTGCTGGTAAAAAATAAATGGCTGCTCTTTATGTGCATAAGGACTAGAGGTTAGTTTTGATATCCCAGTCCTCTGGTCAGCTAATCCAGGAACAGCTGAAACTTTCTGAGCCTGTTCAGTTGGAGGACTGTCTGGAAACTCTTGTTGGTAAAAAGTACCAGGTTTATCTCTATATGAATGGGAAGTAAAAGGTTCTGATAGCAACCCAGTCTTTTTTTCAGCTGATCCAAGAGCAACTGAAATTTTCTGAGCCTCTTCAGGTAGGTGACTGCCTGGTAAAGTCTGCTGGTAGGAAATATTGGGCTTCTCTTCAAATAAGTAGGACCTAGCAGACCCTGTTTGTATCTCAGCTCTGTGGTCCACAGGTCCAGGGACAGCTGAACCTCTCAGAGCCTCTTCTGTGAGATTATTGTCTGTCAACTTCTGTTGGTAAAAAATAAAGGGTTGATCTCTATGTGAGTAAGGAGCAGAAGTTACTGCTGATACTCCAGTCCTCTGGCCAGCTGACCCAGGGGCAGCTGAAACTCTCTGAGCCTGTTCAGTTAGAGAACTGTCTAGAAACTCCTGTTGGTAAAAAACAACAGGCTTATCTCTGTGTGAATAGGAAGTAAAGGGTTCTGATGGCAACCCAGTCTTCTGGTCTATCGATCCAGGAGCTGCAGAAACTTTCAGAGCCTCTTCAGTTAAATGAGAATTTGGCAACTCATGCTGATAGAAATTACCGTGTACCCCTCTATTTGAGTAAGAAGTAGGGGATGCTAATGGTATCTCAGATTTCTGGTGAGCTGTTCCAGGAATAGTATGAGCCTCTTTAATTAGCTGACTTTCTGGTAGCTCCTGTTGGTGGAAAAAGTTGGACTTCTCTCTGTGTGAGTAAGAGGGAGAGGTTATTGCTGATATCCCAGTCCTCTGGTCAGTGAATCCAGGAACAGCTGAAACTTTCTGAGCCTGCTCACTTAGATGACTCTCTGGCAGGGCCTGAGGATAGAAAATATGGGTTTTTTCTCCATGTGAATGAGAAGTAGAGGGCCCTGTAGGTATCCCAGTTTTCTGGTCAGCTGATCCAAAAGAAGCTGAAACTTTCAGACCCTCTTCAGGTAAATGACTGACTGGCAACTGTTGCTGTGAGAAAATAATGTGCTTCTCTCTATATGGATCCAAACTAAAAGTTACTGTTGTTTTCCCACTCTTCTGGTCACCTGGTCCAGAAACAGCTAAAACTTTCAGAGTCTCTTCAGTAGGATGACTGCCTGGCAATGTCTGTTGGTAGAAAATATTGTGCTTCTCTCCAACTGAGTAGGAAGTTGGAGGAACTTCAGGTATGCCAGCCTTCTGGGCAGCAGGTCCAGAAGCAGCTGAAACTTTTAGAGTCTCTTCAGGAAGATGACTAACTGGCAACTCTTGTCTGTAAAAAATATTGGGCTGCTCTCTATGTGAGTAAGTAGTAGAGGTTACTGCTGGTATCCCAGTCTTTTGCTCAGAGAATCCAGGAGCAGCTGAAATATTCTGAGCCTGTTCAGTTAGATGACTGCCTGAGACGGCCTGTGGGTAGAATATATGGGGTTTTCCTCTTTGTGAGTAGGAACTAGTGGGTACTGTTGATATCCCAGTCTTCTGGTCAGCTAGTTCACGAACAGCTGAAACTTTCAGAGTCTCTTCAGTTAGATGACTATCTGCCAATGCCTGTTGATTGATACTATCAGTATGTTGGTCAATAATGTTATCCTGAGGAGACCTTACAGCCAAGTGAGAAAATTCATCAGGGGACAAGGATAAATGAGATTCAATGTCTGAAACTCCAGGAGTGGTAGTGATGTCTGGTCTCAAGTTAGAATGTGTAATATCAGTTATGCCTCCTTTAGAAGTAACTCCTAAAGAAAAAGAGATTTGTTAATATTGTTAATATTCTCAATGATTATGTAATTAAAATAAATTATTTTTTATGCACTGAAATAAATAAAAGCAAGTTTTCCCTCCTTGGGTCTTCATGCTTTTAGAAAGGAATCCTAAGGAAATGTCAAAGGAGAGAAATATTTACGCACAAAAGTATTAATTACAAAATCATTCTAAGAACAAACTAATGTAGACATTCAACAAGAGCAATGGTTTTAAAATAGCAGTATATTCATTTGAAAAAATATTGAGCGACTTAAAATTTGGAGTTTTAAAAATTTTTCATTCTAATGGGAAAATGTTGTCTACTCTGGAATTTTACTTCACTCTACTTATAAAGTAATAAGTTAGCCTGCTGTAATGTCAGTGTATGCTGGCAAATGAGACTACTCAATCAGAAATAAAATCATTTATTCCATGACACAGCAAAAGATCATCAGCTTACTTTCATGTATATCCCCTTCTCCTAAGTCCTATGAAGGTAGTGCAATAAGGCCCAGATAAATGTTAGGCATGCAGTGAGTCTAACTCACTCTCCTAATAAATGCACCCCAAATAAAATACTTATTTTTAAGTGTATGAAATCTACACTTTCATTTCATGTCTAAGGGTTACACAAAGAAGTCTGAACTCAGTTCATTATATGGCATGGAGAGTTGTTGACAGATTTGATCAGAACTGCACTGCAGGAACATAGATCCAAGATGGATAGGAATGGAATGTGAGAATATAAGCTTCATTATTTAACAGAATTTCATGCAAGGGAAATGTTCTATCATCCAATACAAAAATTCTAAATGATAGTTCTCAAGAAAGGTGGAAAATAGATGATGCAACAGAAATGCAATCATTCCCAAAAAAAAAAAAAAAAAAAAAAAAGGTCATTTTTAGTAAAGCTTACATCCTTTTAAGAGGAAGCAGAAAATAAATTGGTAAGAATATAAGTAGAGAAAGAACAGTCTCTCCAACAAATGGTGTGGGAAAACTATATATATAGCAACATGCAAAAAACTGAAACTGGACCATAATCACATATCACACACATTTTAAAAATAAATTCACTTCAATCTAATACCTAAAAATCTCAAAATTCTTAGAAGAAATCACAGGTGGATAACCTCCTTGACATTGATCTTGGAAATGTTTTTTGGATTTGACCAGAAAAGCACAAGCAACAAAAAGCAAAAAATAAGTGAGACTACATTAAACTAAAAGGCTTGTGAACAGCAAAAGAAACCATCAACAAAACGAAAAGGTAACCTACCAGACAGAAGAAAATACTTGCAAATTATTTATCAGGTAAGAGGTTAATACCCAAAGTATAAAAAGAACGGGGCCTCCCTGGTGGCGCAGGGGTTAAAGATGGTGCTATCAAGCTATCACCAGCCACTGCAGCATGAGTTCAATTCCCCAGGTGGCCAGGGAGCTACCTACATGGCACAGCAGACCTCTCCTGCCTCGCTCACTGCTCCCCTCAGTAGTGTATTTCAGTAAATCTGCCTGTTCTATTCCCCACTCTCTCTGGTGAATCCTCTCACCTCCCATACCTCTGGCTTCACCCCAGTTCTTGTAAACATAAATAAATAAATCCTTTAAAAAAAAGTATAAAAAGAACTTAACCAAGATAAAAAAAATAACCTAACTTAAAAATGGGCATGGGCTGGATAAATTGGAACAAAGAGGATAATGGTATGGTAAAGGATAGAATTGGACTTTTAGCAATGCACTTAATGCAGTATATATATATATACATGCTGATTCTCAATGATGCATGCCTGAAACTTACATAATCTTATAATGAAGTATAACTTTAATTAAAAATAAATGGACAGATGATCTGAACACTTTTTTATCCAAAAACATGCAAAGAGCTAATAGTTACATGAAAAGGGGTTCAACATGACTAATCATGAGAGAAATACAAATCAAGACCACAACGACAAATCATTTCACACCTGAATGGCCAGCATCAGAAAACACAAGAAACAACAAGTGTTGGTGAGAATGTGGAGAAAAGGGAACCCTTGTTTCCTGTTGGTGAGAATGTAAATTTGTACAGCCACCATAGAAAACAGTATGGAAGTTCCTCAAAAAGTTAGAAATAGAACTTTCATCTGATCCAGTAAGTCCACATTTGGATGTTCATTCAAAAAAAATCAAAACACTATATTTAAAGATATAAGCACCACCATGTTCAATGCAGCATTATTTCCAATAGCCAAGATATAGATGCAACCATATCAAGCGTCCAACAATAGATGAATGGAATAAGAAAATGTAGTATACAGTCACGTATCACTTTATCAACAGACAGCATATGTGACGGTGGTTGCAGTATGCTATACCATAAAGCCTGATATGTAGCAGGTTATAACAACTAGGTCTGTATGGTAAGTATCTATGATGTTCACACAACGATGAAATCAGAACATGCCCCGTCACTCAGACTCATGACTGAACACATATGGTACAATGGATTATTCTGCTGTTAAAAAAAAAAAAAAAGGGACAAAAACTTGTTATTTTCAATAGGATGTATAAACCTTGAGAGCCTTACGCTATACAAAATCTTACTTGCATGTACAACCTTAAAAAAAAAAACACTAAGTTCAAAATTAAACAAAACTTAGTTCATAGATATAGAGAACAGACAGTACTTGCTAAAGATGCGGTGACAGGTGGGCAAAATGTGTGAAGGGATTGAAAGTTTCACAATTCCAGTTAGAAAGTAAGTAAGTATGGAGATGTAACTGCAGTATGGTGACTATAGTTAATAACAGTATGTTGCATATTTCAAAGTTACTAAGAGTAAATCTAAAAAGGTCTCATCACAGACACACAAAAATTGTAACTATATGGTAAGAATGATAACTAGATGTTAAGTTGTGATCATTTCAGAATATATACAAATATCAAATCATTATGTTATACACCTGTAACTAATATATGCCAAATTTACATCAATTAAAAAAAAAGAAAAAATATTAACCCAAAAAAGCTTTGTTTTCTAAGTAATTCTTAAATTTTCAAAATTTTTGTTTGCTTTTGGATCATTACAAAGTGAGTGATATCCAGAAGGGGACAAATGTGTTAAAATATACAATACAGATCTTGAGAGATGCAGAGATTTGTGTTTTTTTAAAGATTTATTCATTTATGTATACAAGAGCTGGGGTACAGGCCAGAGGTACGGGGGGTGAGAGGATTCACCAGAGACACAGCGGGGAACAGAACAGGCAGACTGACCAAAGCACACTGCTGAGGGCAAGCCAGGAGAGGGCTGCTGTGCCATGTGGGCTGCGCCCTGGCCAGCCGGGAATTGAACTTGCGCTTCAGTGGCTGCGGATTGCCCCACAGGCTGGGTCCTAATCCTTGAGCCACCAGGGAGGCCCAGAGATGCAGAGGTTTATACAAGATAATAAGACCTTACTTAGGAAGATCTCAGCAAGAAGGAAAACATTTGTAAAGAAAACTGAAATAACAAGTGCAAGTTAAGCTGCTTAAAGTACAGGAGGAAACTTGTGATCTAAACAAGCAATTTCTGACAGTTTCATATAAGTTTAAGGACATATATTTCAAACTGGTAGAAGTTATAATGACCATAAATCCATGGCCATTTCTGAAATATGTTCGTGTAAGTAAAGAATATATGATGATGATGGCACAATTTTAGAGTGCTTACTCTCAGCCCTGGCAAAGGATAATAAATACACAATGTGAGTGTTATATTATTACCATATGCCTACTGAATCTTTGAGCATTCATTTTCAGAACCAGGGGGTAGGCCTGAAGATAAAAGATTTGACCATGAAATGGAAGAAAGTTGCCCAGAAAAAAGCTATCAAAATTGTGTATCAGTACCTTTTAAAGACGAGACTTGGTTAGGATTGGTTGAAGAACTCCTTTCTTTTAAGAGTCAAGTGCTTATTAATATAAAGGGTTTCCTTAGGAGACAAAGATAGCATGGTTTTATTTCCCAAAGTATAATCTAAAAATCCTCTATGGGGCCTCCCTGGTGGCGTAGGGGTTAAAGACAGCACTAGCAAGCTATCACCAGCCACTGCAGCATGAGTGAGTCCCAGCTGGCCAGGGAGCTACCCACATAGTGCAGCAGATCTCTCTTGCCTCGCCCTCTGCTCCCCTCAGCAGTGTATTTCAGTAGATCTGTCTGTTTTGCTCCCCCCTCTCTCTGGGGAATCCTCTCACACCACCCCTTCCCCCGGCTTATACCCCAGTTCTTGTATGCATAAATAAATAAATCTTTTTTTTTTATTTTTAAAAGATTTATTTATTCATTTACACAAGAACCGGGGTACAGACGCGCAGGAGGGTGATAGGATTCACCAGAGACAAAGTGGGGAACAGAACAGGCAGACTGATGAAATACACTGCTGAGGGGAGCAGCAGGTGAGATAGGAGAGGTCTGCTGCTCCATGTGGGACCCTCGCCGGCAGGCCAGGGATCGAACCAGCGCTGCAGAGGCTGCGGACAGCTTCACAGCGCGGCGTTTAACTGGCTGCACCACCAGGGGAGGCCCAAATAAATAAATCTTTAAAAAAAAATCCTCTATGACCTGAATAAGAAAAGCAATCAAGTCCTTTATTTTTCATTGACAAAATGAGCTGCAATTTCAATTCAATTTTATATATGACTAGGGCTTCTACATTAAGCACACAATACTAGCACACAAAACCAAATCAGCGTATTTCTGGATCTTGAGAATTCAAACTCTACTAAGGTCTGGCTGTCCTGAGAAGTTCCTATCCTATATACAAAAGTAGAATGAAATTCCCACAGTTTCCAAAAAGACATTAGTAATACATTAACTTAGTATTTGTTTTCATTGCAGTTATTCTTACTTACTAATTATGAATTACTGTAAGTTTATTGTTTTTACGATTCCCTACTTATTAATTATCGACAACTATATAATTATTACAATTTTGCTGTGGCTTATTTAATTTTTGAGCAAATGACA